CGTACAGCATCGCCCCTGGGTGAGGTGGCTCCCAGGCCTCTCCCAGAAGTCCTTTTTTTTTGACCTAGAAGAGAAGGGGAGGGCCGGGGTGGAGGGTGACATCTGGTCTTACTGGGAGGTGGGGTGGGCACCCTTGACCTCAGCCCTGCACCCTGTGGTCCAGGTGGTTTGGCTCCCGGAGCCCCGGCATAGCCACCGCTTCCAGGTGCTGAGCGTGGCCACTGACGGGAAGGTGCTGCTCTGGCAGGGGGCCGGGGCCGGCCGGCTGCAGCTCAGTGCAGGCTTTGCCCTGGCCGTGCAGCAGCTCCCCAGGAACACCAAGCTAAAGAAGGTACGTGGGGGCAAGGCCGCCGCCCTGGAAACGGGCCCCGAAGGCAGTGGGACCCCCTGAGCCAGGGAGCCCTGGGGGCGGGCGGGGGCAGGCAGGCAGGCAGGAGCCCCTGAGGGCCATAGCGTCCATGCGTGTGCCTGGGCTCCTTGGGGCCGCCGTGAGCAGACCCCCTGAGCTCTGCCCTGCTGCTCTTCTCTCCACAGCCTCCCCGGGGGGAGACCGAGGTGGGCGCCACGGCGGTGGCTTTCTCCAGCTTTGACCCCAGCCTTTTTGTGCTGGGCACGGAAGGCGGCTTCCCGCTCAAGTGCTCCCTGGCAGCGGAGGAGGCCGCCCTTGCACGGACGCCCAGCTCTGTGCCCCTGCGGGCCCCGGCACTGTTCACCTTCTCTCCCCACGGCGGCCCCATCTACTCCGTGAGCTGCTCCCCCTTCCACAGGTAGGGAGGGTGACAGTCTGCCCAGCCATGCTGTAGACCAGCTTACAGGACCTGCACTCTGCTCTGGGTCCAGGGCTCCCTCATTTTAGCCCCATTATCGAGGGCCCCGGTGGTTGGCCCCAGGGAATTGGCCCCTTCCTACCAAGATGATCTCAGGTTTGGGGGGGTCTAGGGAGGCCTTTCAGGAGCCTGACAGCCAGGCCCTAGCCGTACCTGGGCCCCCAGCACTGCCCCCCTTGCCTGGCTGTGTGCTCTGCATCCTGTTTAGGAATCTGTTCCTGAGCGCGGGGACAGACGGCCACGTCCACCTGTACTCCATGCTGCAGGCGCAGCCCCTGACCTCCCTGCAGCTGTCCCACAAGTACCTGTTTGCTGTGCGCTGGTCCCCAGTGCGCCCCTTGGTGTTTGCAGCTGCTTCTGGGGAAGGTAGGAAATGGACCAGACTTGGATCCATTAGTGACACGAGCCCAGCCTGTACCTGGAACTCTGGGTTGAGCAGAGACTATCCATGGGGTGAGGATGACTTTCCTCAGGTCGAGTGGAGAGCTGAACTGAGGATCAGCCTCATCTTGTGCACAGGGAACTGTGAAGAGGCCCAGAGGCCACTGCTCTGGGCCTCTGATTCCACAACTCTCTTCCTGAAGGTGATGTACAGCTGTTTGATCTCCAGAAAAGCTCCCAGAAACCCACAGTTTCAATCAAGCAAACCCAGGATGAAAGCCCTGTCTACTGTCTTGAGTTTAATCGCCAGCAGACTAAGCTGCTGGCTGCCGGCGATGCCAAGGGCGCAGTAAAGATATGGCAGCTGAGTACTGAGTTCACTGAACAAGGACCTCGGGAAACAGAGGACTTGGACCAGCTGGCAGCAGAGGTGGCCGCCTGAGGGTGACAGAGCAACAGCCGGGCCATGGTGGGGAGAGCCTCTAAATGCAGAGGCAGGTGGGGTGAGGCTGCACTGGTGCTGTGTGTTTCTGATGGAAGCTGAATGAAGACAAGATGAGCTTTTGGGGGTGTCAAGTCATTTATTTGTCTTATACATGAAAACAGAAAATTGGGCGGAGAGGGGACAGAACAAGAGGGGAGCCAGCCAGCTGCTTAGATTTTCTGCAGTCGGAATGGGGCAGCTGGCTTCAAGACAGGAAGTGGGTCCCCAGAGCAACAGGGCAGCAGCGACTGGACTAGAAGCAGTTTACTGAAGCACCTTTTTCTACTAAATCTTACCTCAAGCTAAGCAGGTTAAGGTTACACTGGAAAGAAACACTGGAGCGTTTCCTGAAGGGTACAGAGATGCGCTGACATGCAGCAGGGCCACGGCAGGGCAAGCAGCGTGGGCCAGGCTAGGTTAGGGGCGGAGGATCAGTTCACAAAGAGTGAGCGGGTAAACTCGACGTAGTCGAAAGCAGTGGGGAGCTCGCGGCCCTTGCCGTCCACGTAGGGCTTCATGTGGGAGACGCAGTAATCGGCTTGTTCCCGAGTCAGGTTCTGGAGGAGAAAGTGGCACCTGTTAACCACGCCACCACCAGCCACACTGACTGAGGCAGGGGGTGACCAGGTGGACTGCAGAAATGCTACCTGAGGGTCAGGAAGGTCTCTGCTGATAGGGCCTCTGGCCTGGACTGAGTTTCATTTGAAAATGAGGCTAAAATGCCTGCCCCCAGCAGCTAAGGCTAAAACTGGGGTCTGTTACTCTAGACTCAACCCTGCCCCTCACCCAGGGGGCAGCCTTGCTGGGGCTTTACTTTTGAAGGAAATAGCCACCCCCTCCCCAGCAGAGGAGACAGCGCCCTGCACCTGGTACAGCTCCTCCTTGGTCACGTAAGGCTTCCCCTCGGAGCTCAGGGCCCGGAAGGCGCTCTCAATCTCCTCGCTGGACTTGACGTTCTCGGTTTCACGGCTGATCATGAAGGCCATGTACTCTTGCAGGGAGACATGGCCGTCCCTGGGGAGCAGAGGTGCAGTGAGCAGGGAGGGTACGGCACGAGCTGTGGGCAGAGCCGCGTCTGCCATGGTCCCCAACACTCACCTGTTTGGATCCACAGTGTCCAGGATGGCCTCGAACTCAGGGTCAGGCTCCCCTTCCTCCACCATGGGCAGGTCATAGCCCAGGGAGCGCAGGCAGGATTTGAACTCCTGGTGGTTCAGGCGGCCAGACTTGTCCTTGTCGAAATGTCTGCGGCACAAAGCCGAGGGCTCAGCACACAGGCCCTATTGCTGAGTTTACCAGCCCCGCCAGGAGGGTGCAACAAAGTATACTCACTTAAACATCATGCTGAATTCTTTGAGGGCCTCCTCAGTGACCCCTGTCGTGTTTCTGAAGAATGAACAGAATTAGAGACCCCACATGGCAGGTGACACATCCTGTTCTCTCCCAGTAAACTGACTGCTGAATGCAGGGGCAGCCCTTCCTCCCGCGGCCCCTGCCGCCCAGTGCCCACCCGAGCTGCTGCAGGTACCTGGCTTGGATCTGCTGCTCCAGATTGTGCTGCATGCGCATGCCCAGCTGGTCGAGCTGGTCCCACTGCTGGGCCAGGCCCACAGTGCTGTGCTCCGTGTACTTGTTGTCCAGAATCAGGGCTTCCTCCATGGCTGCCCCCAGGTCCTCAATCTTCTTGAGCTGACTTCTCATTGCTCTAATCTCCTGGTGCTTACGCTGCAGAGGTGGGGGAGCAAAGATGCATGAGACGGGCTCTCGCCTTGGTCACCAGGCCTGAGAGCCTGCTCAGCTCGCTGGCCCTCCTCAGTCTCAGCATCCCCAGCTTGAGATGTGCATTGCTGCCAGGGATGGGGTGACAATGAAGAAATCCAGCAGCCTTAGAGGGAAAGACTAAAATGTGAGAATCACAAACCAGTGGGTGGACCAGCCAGGGAAACAGTATACACTAAGGACCAAAGGAGCCTCTTCCTCTCCAGGTAGCAACTGCTGGAGACAAAACACTCTAAGATGATGAGGGCCCTGGGCTGCTTTAAGCCAAGGGTACCCAGTCAGCCCACCTGGTGCCTGACTTGAAGCCAAGAAGGCCTGCTGGCAGTGGCAGGGTGAAGGGTTTTAGTTGGGCCAGAAACACCAGGGCACTTACTTTGGTAGCTTCAAGCTGGGATTCGAGGGTCCCAGATTCTTCCACCATGCAGGACCTAAACACAGAAGCACAGTGAGGCAAGAGGCCTGACCGTGAGCTTGAAATTAACTTCTCTCAGACAAAACAATGCCTGGAGTCTCAAATTCCTTTTATTAAGGAAACACAATCTGCCTGCTATTGGCTATCTTTTCCTAAGCGGCCCTGAGAGCCAGAGGGCAGGTAGTGTTTCTCCTGTTTCAGAGACGGGAAGCTGCTGCCTGATGTAGTGCGTCACGTGCCCGAGGCCAACAGGTAAGCCAGGGCTGAGCCCCAGGCAGCCTGCAACCTGCTCCTCGGCCAGGACCCTTCCTCATGTGGCTCGTCAGGCCCAGCAGGCAAGGCCCTGGAGGGGTACCTCAGGGATCGGTTCAGCTCCCACGGGAACAGAGGAGGGCTGCAGGCCAGGCGGCACACCCCCTCTGCAGCCACAGGGGAGGAAGACACCCCGCACAACCCTGCCGCCCAGCAGACGAGACCTGAGGGAGGAGGGCAGGCTGACAGCCGCTGCCCCCCCGAAGTCCCTGGAGTCTCCTGCAGGCTCCTGAGGAGGGAAGCCACATTCTAGGGTAAGTGACAGCAGCGGGGGAGATGCAGTCAGATGACCCCTCAGACATAGAAACTGGGAAGCCAAAGGGATCACGACCAGATTCAGGTTTTGAAAATGGTTCTAATTCTGCCCAAAGGCAGGAGGTGGCTGTGACTAAGCCCTGGATTCAGGTTCTATGATCTAGAGACACGGTGCCAGAGGCACCATCCAGGGCCAAGTTCTGAAGAGCTGGGGGCCTCTGGGGAGTCCCCATCTTCCCGACATAACACAGCGTAAGGTCACAGAGGCTACCAGTGAACAGAGACAACAAACGAGGTTACGTGCAGGGACGAGTCACACTGTGCGCGTGTCCTTGGTAGGGTTTTAGCCCCGCCTCCCCTGTACCCACATTTGCCCCAGCCTACCCTTTTAACACCCAGTGAGCCAGGGTTAGCTTGTAGTCTCCCCAAGTCCAAAGTGCTCTAAGCAAGGCAAGGCACCAGGCTTTCTCCTACCCCAGCAGGTCAGACTCACAGTCACGCCATGTCCCCCCGGGAAAAGCACACCCCCGGGACCTGGGGGCAGGAGGCTGGGTGCTGGTGCAGTGGGAGGAGGGCAGACTCCTCCTGCCCACGCGGCCGCGGGCGGTGGGTTAGTCAGAAAGCAGAGCCGCCTGGGGAAGTCAAGAGTGCATTGGTAAAACCACAGTGAGGCAAGAAGAGAAATAAGAGGAGAAGAACCTTCCAGACAGATCATCCCCAACTTCATACTGATAGACACGAATGACCCGACGATACGCTATGCTATTCAAAGAAAAGAAACCAAATGAATACACCAAAGGAAGGGGAGGCAAGAGCACACGGAGACGGACATACACCATGAGGCCCAAGCTGGCAGTGCACAGGCAGGGACCTGGTGGCACAGAGCGACGGCTGGCCTGGGAGGACAGGCAGCTCACGCTGGGACTGGGCAAGACGGGACAGGACTGGGAGGAGCCACTCCTGCCCCTCGTGGAGACAAGACCAAGACCAGCAGACACAGCTGTGGGCACTGGGGAGGAGAGCAGGCACCAGGGCGCTCAAGCCTAAGCTGAACCCACGATCCCAAAGTCCCGACCCGCCTGCCTTCAGCGTGTGTGTGCTCGCTTCTCCCACTGCCTCCTTGACATGCCTGAGGCCCCCGTCTGCAGAGCCTCAGGGCTGCGAGCCCAAGCCCCTGTGGCCCCAGGAGAAAGCACAGGTGCCCGACCCAGACAGAGGGGGAGGCCCCACCGGGACCAGGCAGGACGGCCCTGCTCCTCTCAGGGCTCCTCCCAAGCCCTCTCTCATCACCCACACCCGGGGCACTTCTGCCTCCTATTGAGGCAAAGGACAGCCTCAGCCCTCGGTGGGGGTTGGGGGTGGAGGCGCCAGGGCACAGCTGGGGACTTATGGCACCAGCCTGACCCCTGCTTCTTGCCCATGACCTCCTAGGGACTAACTGTGGTCCCATGAGACGGGTGGGGGGGGAAAGAGGCAGAGAAGTCCAGAATAATCCCCACGTCTGAGCAGGCATGGGATTCTCAGTGGTTTAGGACTCCAGCTCTGCCCTTCGGGCATGGCCTCATTCCCTAACAGAACCCTTGGATTGGAACAGGAAAGGAGGAGTGGCTCCCCTCCCAGCCCACAGGCCGATGGGGATGGGGGGAGGACAGGGGGTGGCAGGTGAAGGCACACGCTACTCCTGAGTGCTGGGGGAAGGAGGGGGTGAGGGCGGGGCGGGAAGGCCCATCCTGGGATCCTCTGCAAGCCAGGCCACACCACAGGGGAACAGAGGGACAAGCACACAAAACACCACACCACGAGCCCGGAGAAATAAGAAGACAATATTAACCCATCGAGGAGATACGTTCTGTGGAGATGGGATCCAAGCAGCCGCAAGACAAGGTGATGTCCGGATAGCAGCAATCGCGAGGCAGGGGACAGAGGCAGACACAAAAAAGAAGAGAAACAAAACCAAGATCATCAATACCCACACTGCACTCAGCCCCATACCTGTCACCGTCGCTGCGCAGGCCCATCACGAGCCATGTGGTCCCACCCAATCTAAGACATCCAGCGACTCCATCTTTGGAAAAGTTCCTTCAAGAACACTCCTAGCTCTGCCCATCCCTCCTCGAGCCAGACCAGGCCGTGCTCCTAACCCTCCCTGCCTCATCACAAGATGCCTCTGGCTTCAAGCAAAGTTCCCTTCACTCTAGAGCCCGAGGCCTGGGCATTCAGCCCCGGGGACCAGGACGCTCCCGGGGCTGAGCCCAGCAGCAAGGCCGCACCTGGTCTCCTGGATCCACTGGTGGAAGGCGTTGGCGTGCTGGGCGAACTCCT